AAGTAGTTTTCATGATATGAACTGTATTATATGAATTAATTACAAAGAAAAAGCAATAACAGCTCATTTAATTATCATCAAACTACAGTGAATTAAGTTTACCTGTTAAAGTGTGTACATGTAATTATAGTGATATCTGTAAACGCAATGTCATTCCTGTTTGCCTTAATAAACTCATTAGAGGCGAGTATTGTTGATGATTCTGGTGATGAATTCCAGTATGAAGAGGTGCCTATTGATGATGACATTGCATCTGGTAAGTAACAAATCAAAATTTTCACTTCATTAGAAACATTATGTATTGTGACTGAAATTTCCATGATTTAATAATTTAAAGCTTTTCCTGATACTGAAACATGGCAATAGTTATTGATGGAACACCTTGTATTATTAAGAAATTTGAAAAAATGTTCACTGCTACAAAATATTTTACTGTAATTTAGCAAATAATTGTGTTTCATGAATCTTATTATCTTGGTGCATATCACTTCTGAAGAAGTTGGCAACATTTTGTTTGGATTCAAACAAATATACTGTACATATTACCATATAATAAATGTACCAGGTATTTGCATATCTGCATCAGAAGTTTCTTACCAAGATTACTGAGCAGTTTTGTAGATTCAAGTGTGATTGAGTTTTCAGTGTATCTGGTGTCATTACAACTGCTCAAAGCCCAAGCATATTTGTTTATTAACAGAACCTGATGATGATTTGGATGCTGCAGTCAGAACCATACAAGAAGCAGCACAAGATTTAGCAGCTTCTGTAAGTTATGTTATACTAGAATGAATGAATATTCTCAGTTTGATGCATACTAACATCAGCTCATACATGTGTGTATCCAAAATTACATTATTTAACTAAAATAACACATTTGCTAGCCAAGTTGTGGTATAACTGGTAGATATAGCTGACAATATAAACAAGACCACTGTACACACACTTCATTAACTGCATTAAAAGTGCATCTCCAGCTGAAATTCACATAAAAGTTGATTATGTATTACTTAAAAACCATTTATTTTTATCAGAATTTAATTTCTCTGAGATATTGAGTTTGAAAAATTGCTAGGGAGTTCTATTGTTAGTTTACATACATGAATTTAATATAGCAAATTTAATTATCGGCAAAATAGCAAAATTATTACGCTGTGAATAATTATTGCATTTACAATATATACTCAAACATTGAAATCTGTCTTTCACCATAGATACACATGATACATATCTAACTCTTTATTTTAATATTCTGTTCTTGCTTTCTCCTTTCTGCTATATTTAATCACTAGTCTAAAGAAGATAAAATACCTGGTGCCTCTGTTGTACAAAGACCAGAAGTTGTTGATGACTTTGTCAGAAATTTTCTTGTCAAGATGGGAATGAGTAAGACTCTTGACTGCTTTCAGACTGAATGGTGAGTCTTACACAACTTGAGTAAATCGAGATTATACTTCTGAACAGTGCCTGTGAAATGCCCATCTACACATTTATGTTTTTGGTTTCTGTTGCTCTGAAATGGACTTTTGTAAACTAAACACTCTGAATTTCTGTCTACTGTGAATATGTCGTTCAATATTAGACAATATTAACAAAAGCAACTCAAGCAAGTGCTGCACAAAAATTCAATTTAAGCACAATGTTTGTTTTGTTGCATCAAATTAGAAATCTAATTTTATGAAAGAAGCTTGCAATATCATGTGTTAAATATGATTGGTCAAACGATTGACTAATGAAAAATATGCATTTACACATCAGGTCATTAAATGTGTTCAAATATTGTATCAATGACCAATATCAATAATTATTATAATAATTGTAATTGTGTTTATGCCATAGGTAAATTGATGTATGTTTAATGTTCATTACGGGTCTATTAAATGCATGCATATGTTAGTACATGCTTTTTAGTCC